GCAGCATGAGGGGAGCCTGTATCTGGTTTAGCTCAAGGTTATCTTCTGAGAGCTCATGCCACAGTTTTGAGTCACACCCTTGAAAGATTTCTTTTTTTTTTACACAAATGGAGCACCACTTTTCATTTTTCTGGTTGTGCTTAATGTGGAGTCATACCATTCATGCAATCATATCCATACCTAGGGTAATAATGTCCATCTCATTCCACTGTCTTCCTCCCCCCACTGCCTCCTTTCCCCTCCCTCCTCTCTGCCCAATCTAAAGTTCCTCCAAGATGTTTTGAGAATAGATTGGTCATGATTTATGAAGAACATAAATTCATCCCTGGATTTCTCTCCAAGACTTTCTAGTCAACATAATGGACACTGCTGAGAGACTATGAGCTCTTTTGACCAAGATACTCTTTTGCAAGAGGAGACTGGATGTGTTGGAGAAATCGCTTCTGCAGTCAGCAGTCTAGGGAGGCAGCACCACCTCAATTTCTCTGCAGCAGAATTAGTTGACGCCTAGAAATCCTGCAGAAGGCTTTTGAAGATCTTTTTTTTTTAAGATAATCTCACACTTGAAATGTGAATTCATAATCTTTTTCTTGCTGACACAGACAGATAGCATCAGTGATGCAGAACTTGGCAAAGTTACTACCAAAGCAAATGATGCAGTGGGATTTCAATCCCAGGAATATTACAGAATTTTGACCCAAGCCTGTCCTTGCCAGACAACACTAATTATAGCAGCTTAGGTTTGAGAGTTTAAATGGGTTTTTTAAAACACATTTTACATCATATAAAAACAAAATTAATCAAATATCATAGGTATATGTGTGCTACTGTGTAAAAAATTACTTGTCAATCCTAATCATGATAGTGTCTGGCATTATATGAGCACAAAATTTCAAATGTAGTATACGTTGGTGTATTTTATGGAATGGAGAACTGTAGATTTTCTTTTTGAGGTGCTGGATATCTAACGTGTGTTAAGCAAGTGCTCTACCATTGAGCTACATCCCCAGCCCTGAGAGTTCCCTACAGAAGTTTTTAATTCACAAGTGTTGGAACCAACCAAATATGTAGTGAGTTTCCTTCTAGTTCTTACATAAGTCTCAAGGTCTAATGTCAAACTGGTGATACTATTGAGAAATTTACTGGCTATTAAGATCTTTTTTATTTGCATTGTCAAATATCTGCCTTACAAAAAATCCAGTACAAAGGTTTGGTGTCATTTGCAGAGGCAAAGACTTATGTATAATGTTGGCTCATAGCTTTGTATGATGGTTTTTGGGCTGTTTCCCTGTGCTTGAGAATATGGACCTACGATCAGCCTGATAGAAGCATAGCAAGGATCCACTATTGCTGGAAAGAGGAAAAAGCTGTAGATGATCCATAATTCTTGACCAATAGCTAAGATGTGCCTCTTATTTGTCTAGATAAAGTCTCCTTGATTATAACAACCTGAACTTGATAGGAAATGAGTTGGATACTCACCTAATAACTTCCCACCTAGCCCACCTCTGAAAAATGATGGATGGAAGACAGATGGCAATATGTGTTTCTCTCCATAGAGGGTGTCTTACTGGTCTCAACGCCTGCACAAGACAGGAAGAGGCCAATGGAAGAGCCCAGACCCACACCCAACATCTTCCCACATGACATATGAGTGGTTGCATCCAAGTCTTCCTAACTACTTGTCTGTAGGGAGTTAACACTCCAAAATGCATGATGAAAGATATAAAATTGGAAGATCAAAGAATTTAACCACAGACTCTTAAAAGGTGGCTGTTTTTAATCCCCACCCTCTTTTTGTGCTTTGTGAGAGGTGAGACAATAAACTTTAAAACTGCCAGCACTGATGATCCAAGATGCTCAAACTCTTTCCACAGCAATTAATTAATTCACCAATTCCCTGATATCTCTTCCTTCCTCAAGGGCATCTTCTCTTGCTTTAAGTTGCTCTCCAGTTAAGAACTGGATATTTGAAGCTCTTCCTTTTGTCTCTCAAAAAAAAATTCCTTCAACATCAAACTGGAAGCGGTGCACTGAAGAATAAAATTAGTGAACAACACGTACTTAGGTCTTATCCTTTGCAGAATACTACGGGGTCCAAGTTACGCAGTTTAAGGCCTGGGATCATTTCCCGAGGTACATTTTCCCCTGTGTAGCTCAATGGTACCATTGGGTGGGGCTCTGAAGGGTCTGTTGACAATATTAAATGTCTCAGGATTTGAGGTGGGGCAGGCTGAACTCTTCACAACTGATTAATTTTTCAGTCTGCTGCTTTATCTACCTGACAGTACGACTTGAACTACTGCCATTTCTAAATTGCACTTCTAAATATTGACTTAATGGCGAGACTCAGTGTCATAACACAGCTCGCTGGAGCAGCGAAGATTTCCCAGGCCTCATCTAGAAGTCTGTACAATGTCCTGTGGGGAATAGAGAAGGAAGAGGAGGATTGAAGAAAAAAAATAAAACCAAGTCCTGTTGAGAAAAGATGCAACTGCTCTTGACTTAATCTTACAGAGACAAATGGGAACACTCACCAGGCAGGCTATTGGATGAGGCTGGAGGGGACCAGGGCTGAGAGAGAAATGAAAGCAGTGACCGTGGATCCCTCAGCCAATAGCCAATAAGTATGTAAGATTACAGGGCAATGCTGGCTGGACTGTACAACACTCTCAGAGAGCCTTTACTTTGGTATCCAGTTTGAAGGCCTAGACCATATCCAAGGAACAAAAGGCTCTTTATCGAGACTTCAACATGGCTAAATCTTTAGCTCATCTTCATTTAGGTCACTGAGGAAATTCTGGGAAGTTATCTTTTTAGCTTCTTTCCTCTTGATTATTTAACACTATAACTGATCTGAAGGCATTTTTTGTCACATCCCATTAGCTGTTGAACTGTGAATCAGAAGAAGTGGTTGACTCCTTGCCCTTAAGGAGCCATTTTGGAGAAGCAATGAGAATTTTTTACATGCAAATTAGCTTTGAGATTTATTAGATACTCATTGATATATACATTCAGATTCTCCAAGATGATAGAAAGCATAATGCTCTGCAAGGCAGCAGAGAGAAGTCTGGGCTATGGAAACTGCCCCTCTTCAGGATTTCCCATCATCTTGCCATAGTATTGTCACTATATGCAAAAGTCTACCAACAGCAGATCGTGTGTGCATGACACATGCCCACTGGTCTCAACGCCTTTGGTGGAGGGGGGTTATTGGAAAGGGGATCTTTAGAACATGAAGAACTTAAGTTTCAAGGTAAAGTGAAACTAACCAGATATGGAAGGAGGTCCTTATGGTTTTGTAGAGATATTCATCTTGATGTTCTTAGATTGGTTTTAAGGTGATCCCTAAGGCACTATGTCCAACTTATTCTCTCTCCTATGCCTATGCAGGTGGCCTCTTATATTTGTGAATAATCATGCTTCTGAGAATGATCTCACAGGTGCAGCAAAATCTTTTGATTTTAGACCTCATCACAATGGGCTTGACCATGAACTTAACCTCTGGTTAAGTCTCATATAAGAATGGCCCATGCATTTATTGGCTTCCTTCATCTAATATCCAATTCCTTGAAAAATTGAGTCTCCATTTGAGATAAGAGAGTCCTCCTAAATCTTTCCCTTTCTCAAAAGCTTCTCATGTCAGCCTAGGTGACTGCTATGGGTAGAATCCCAGGTGACCCCCAGAAACTATCTTCACTGGCAAGGCAAGGCAAGGCAAGCCTGTGTTTGTTCTTCTGCCCAGTTTTAGCTTTCCACAGCCGGTTCCTGCTTCATGAGCCCACCTATGGATGCCTGTCACTGCTCTCTGGCATCTTCAAGATTCCTACCACACCCTGGTTGTGGGGCTGCTTTCTGTGGTCTCCATCTGTCTATGTTCTATGCTTCTCCGGGAGCTGGCACACCCTTGAGTGTCCTGAGCAGTTCTCCGGCGTCCACCTCCAGACAGCATCCTCCAAACACCTGCTGAAGGCCCACACCCTTAGTGTGGGCCATCTGTGATTCAGCCTGTGCTTACTCATTCTTTGTACCACTCTCTCCTATCCCTGCCAGCTAGCCTTCCCCATAATCAGTCACACTCCACCCTCTCCCATAAACCACCACACTCCTACAATTCTTTCAGCTGATGCTGCCCTCTGACCCAATCGAGTGAGATGCCATCAGCTACTTCTTCCCCTCTCCTATCAGGCTGCTTTTTATTTATGCCTTAATTTCTTCTAGGCCTCCCTTGATAACTTTGCCCATAATGGAAGTAATACAGCATTAAGAATTAGGTAAAAGTGTCCACAGCCATGTGCATGTAAAAGTCCAATGACCTACCAAAAGAGTGAATCCCACCACTGGGAAGATGACCGTGAGTTGATTATTTTGTTAGCTATAAATCCTCTCATCCTTAATAAAAGGTGAAGGATGAGAGAATCCCAAGGACTTCTCACTGTAGCCAAGGTAGTTTTCATGACCACTTACCTCATTGCAGTAAAATAATTTAGGATACCTTAGTCTCTTAATGATTTAAGATGTGCAGGAGGAGTCTTAACACAAAGGGACTTCATTTAATGCACTAACAAAAAGTTGTGAGTGGTTTGAATTCTCTTTTCTGTGTTGTAGGGGACTTCAAACATCTTTAGAAATGGTACACACCAAGTTATTTTGTTAAGGTCAATGAGACAATAATCAATCTCTCCTATATATCCAAAATTTTGCAAGTGAAAAATAGCTATAATATATTGAAGCAGTACTACTGAACCAAAGGAATCAATCGCCTACCAAAAGAGTGAATCCCACCACTGGGAAGACAATGACATTGTGTCTGGTCTAATGTTTCAAAGTACAAAAACAAAATTTAACAAAATGTGCTTATAAGATGTATTTCATAAGTAAACATCTCATTTTTCAAACCATGGCTTTGTTCTTCAACAAGAAGACTGTAATGCTTTCCTTCAGAGACTCAATGGTGTTTTGATTTGGAAGATAAGTAAGACCTGAAGATCAACACTCACCTGGCCAGTAGTACATGTAGACCTTCCTTTGGGCCTTAATCAGAGTGACCCACAGAGGTTCTGATCCATTCCACCAAAGAGGCATCAGGCTGTCTCTGTTGACACCGATGTCAAATGACTTGTTGGTTTTGGGATCCCACATGTAATTCCCAGTCATCTGATGGACCTCACAATGGCGCCCTACATAATGAGAAGGCAACGCTGTCAGTTTATCATTCTGAGTCTTTTCATTTTTATCGTTGTTTCTTGTTATAAAAGCTACCCCTGCTCATTGAGAAAATACAGAAGAGCATAATAATTGGCTTTGATTTTTTTTAAAATTATAGATATTTCTTCTTAGACTATGCCATAAAGGCAAATAATCCTGTGACATTCCCACTAATCGACTGAGGGTGAGATCACTTTGAATGAAGCTAACCTGTCAAGTCCGAGCTGTTTGAAGTCACACCGAAGACAGTGTGTGTTGAGTTTGGCCTTCTGTTCATGACTAGACATCTAAATCGGAATCAATATAGAAACAGATTCCTGTGAGACTTGGGTTAGGTTCTCATTCCAGAGCTTTTCCTGTCTCCCTTCAGACCACACCCTCCCACACCCCAAGATCAGCGATCTTTCTCCTTTCTTGGATAAGAGGAGTTATTTCTTCAGTGCTGAACAATCACACAACCTATGACATTTGGAACAGAAGAGTAAAAAATAGATTCAACTTTGGAAAACAAAGCAAGAAAACAGCCCTCCAAATGGAGCGTTCTATAGAAATGAGGGTTGGTCCTGCTGGGCACCCTCAGTCCCAGAAGAGAAGCCAGAAGTGAAAGACGCAAGCACTTGGATTCTTTTGAAACATTAGGCTTAAATTATTTATTTTGGAGCAATCTGTTACATCTTTAAAGTAAAAATAACACAAACATTGGCAAGTGCATCAAAAATTGCTGCAATTTTAGTGAGCGTCATTTGGCACCAGGATGAAACACTCTCCCCAAGCTCCCTAACTATGCTTAATCAAAGTGGCTTTTTTATTTGTTTGCTGTTGTTGTTTCTTCTTGCCCCCCCCTTTTATTTTTAAACAAAAATAACAACCACAAAACTACAATTTTGAAAATCTGCACACCAAAAATAACATAAAGGAAAAACATTTTATTTCATCACAGAAAGCAAGTCACTCCATAAACCATGCTTTGAATGCAAAGCCCAAAGATCCAAACAAAATGGTTTTTACCCAAAACTATAGCTGTGGTAGGTAAAGAGATTCAAATCTGAATAAACGGTCCCTATTTTCAAGTGGCTTGTGATTTAACGCTCAAGAGACAGTCTTCTGCATAAGAGATAGGCCTCCTGAGACCTAGGAAGCAGACCAAGTTGAAGCCTTAACCTGAGAATCAGGGTCATCCTCACCCATGTTGCTGAGGATAACTTTTTTTATTTTATTATATTTTATTTTTATTAACTAACTCATTAAGTGCAGACATATTTCTTACTGGTTCAACTCTGTTATCATTTTTAGTATTTGAAAGTCTAATAATGTTAAGGAAGCCCCTCTCACGGGTAAGGGTCCTTATTGATGTCTTTTATTCACCATAATACACTCCATATCAAAAACTTTTATCATCCTAATAATGCTTCCTCACCTCTCACAGGGCAAGGTAATCATGATAATATCCATTGGAAAATGTCTCCTTCCGTCTTTCCCTGTAGGTGATCTCTATTGTCCTCCCAAGTGCAGGGAGGGTATCTCACCGGGAGCTGCTGTGCACAGAAACTTAAAGGGTACAAAGTTGAAAGTGGTGAGAAAAGCTTTACAGAGATCAGTGACCAAAGAAGAGTCCTAAATAAATCAGCAGCAGAAGACTTGAAGGACAAGGTATATTAGACATGGGAACCATGGGGAGGGAAAAACCAGTGGGAGGGGTAGAGCCATCTCTGCTTTCAAATTTGAACTGTTTGGACCATTTTAGGTGACATAGATGAAACCCAAATAAAAGTGGGGGCCTTGTGTGATGTAGTTTTTCACAAAGTGCTACATTCAAAGAAGGCAAAACCAACCAAAAATAATTGCTAAAGTACTTATAGATCTCCAAAACCCCACAAGATATCATTTGGAAAAATGTTCCTCTTCTTTTCAATCTTCTGCTCGGCACTCTGAACCCCCAAGTATCCGAATTCTCTTTGCTCTTTAGGTAAAAATGAGGAGCCTCCTGTGAATCATAGAACTGTTTATGAATAGATTGCATTTGCATGTGGATTGGGGGAGAAAGGGAGAGAACATTCTGCTAGAGAATTTTTGTAGGGTGGAGTCTTTCTTTCAATAAGAAAGTCACCTCAGACTCCTCTGAGAGAGTTGGTTTCTTCTTGTGGATTGGCCTTGAGTTGAAACAGGAGGGTGCATTCTTCAAAGGCTGGATCGCAGATGCTGTCCCTGTCCCAGGGGCAGCCCTTTGTTCTGGAAGCCAGTAGGAAGCTTCATGCCTCTTATCCCATCTGCCCCAGGTGTCTCTTCCAACTGAACTGACCTTCCTTCCATGAATATAGTGAAGTTGGCAGTTTGTGTCTGTAACAGTCTAAGCCTGCTCTTATGCAGACTGGTTTACACACACACACACACACACACACACCCCGGGTAGAAGTGATGACTGAAAGAACAGAACAGAACAAAACAAAACACAATGTACTCGCTTCTGCAGCCCACAAGCGCTCATCTCCATATTCCTGCCTGACCCATATCTATTTTTGTACAATTACAACTCTTGATTTTTCTGTGGTTTTTGCTTTCCAAACAGAGCTTTGCTATAGTTTGTTTTTTGGACCCTCGGCTCAAGGCTTTAGTAGACACTTTTCCTGACTTCCTCACAAAGCACAAATTTCAGGTGGGTTTTCAGGTATGATGTAAGGAATGTCTATTTCTGTTTCTCCTCCAGGACAACTCTGTAGGCCTCTAACATCTGTGCTTGCCTTTCACTAAGGGGTTCACAGAATAACTCCCACACCTAGAACAGGTGTATGAAAAAAGCAGGAAATGATGCTTTCATTTTTTACTCCCCAAAGTCTTATTCGAGTGTGTTCTGATGTAATGCCCCTCACCAGAAGTTTTTAGCAAGTGTTCATAATCCTCTGCACCATGTTGTATGCCAAAGCACCGTAAATATCTGTCTTTCCATCCCATGAGAAAGCAGAGGATCATTTTATCTATAACTGATGGTCATAAAGACTTCCCTAAGATGAATCGGACTCCTTTGAACCCCCTCCTTGACTAGACCTGACCTTGGGCTTCCCTCTCTGACCTTGTGGAGTTCAGTTTGAGCAAGAATCCTGATAAGTCAGCTTAGGGAAAATCCTCCACCATCAGGTTCTGACCACCCTCAATCTTATTGCCCACCTGCCTCCAGCAAGAAGTCCCTCACCCCCGTCATGCTCCTTGGCTATACATCCCCCCTCTTCCTTATTTGTTTTTTGGAATCTAGTCCAATTTCTCTTCCCACTACAAGATCCCATTTTGCAGTGGATTCCTAGAACTATCACAATGAATTCCCCTTGAGTAGAGTCTGGCTTACCATCTTTAACAAGAATCATAAATAATTTTCCTTTATTTATTTACTTTTCATGTCTTTCAGCTTTTCTCATTATTTTTACTTAATGTATTAATTCCTTTTGTAGTTTATTTCTTCATTTATCTTTTTTATTTTTAAATTTCATTCAACATGCATCCTATGGCTTGGGTAGGGTGTGTCCTCCAAATGTTGATATACTGGAATCTTGGTCTCCAGTGTGGAGGTGTTGGGAGGTAGTGGAACCTTTAAAAAGTGGGTCAAGTGGGAGGTCATAAGGCCATAGGGCACCACCCTTGGAAGGGAATAATGTGGTTCTCCCAGGACCAGTTAGTTCTTGAGAGGACAGATTATTATAAAGCGAGATCACCCCACATGATTGGCCCCTTCCGCATAAGGTTCTTTCACTTTCTGCTTCTCCACCACGTTGTGATGCCATCAGGAGTCTCTTATCAGGATGCTGGTGCCAAGTTAGACCTTGTATCACCAGAATCATAAGCCAAATACATCTCTTTATAAGTTCTGCAGCCTTGGGTATTTTGTTACTGTGACCAAAAATGTATGAATACAGTGAAGTTATTAAGTCATTCACATGCTAGGCAGATAAAGATCAAAAGATTTGGTCTTTGTGTTTGACTAGCTTGCAGCCTGGTATGGACAACGATATGGCATAGTGGTTTGGGAAACAGACTTTGGAGTCAGACTACACAGGTTCCAATATAAGCCCTTCTATTTACTATCTGCCTGATCTTGGTCAAGTAGCTTGGACGCTCTAAAACTTCAATTTCCTTATCTGAGTAATGGTCATGATAACAGTTATTGTGAAACATACAGATAAGCAGCCCTTCCTTGCATGGTACTATGGGATCATAAAAATGACCCTGCAAACCATGCAAAATTATCTTAATAATCTGTGGGGGAAATTACAATTGTTCCATGACCATTAAAATTTTTTATAAAACTATTTAAAGTTCTCTGTCAGCTACAACTGTATAGGGAGATGAAGAAAACAATAATATGATCATTTACTAGTGTATTGTAATTTAAAATATTAGAAACATTGAGAATTAATGAGTTAGGGTTAGGGTTAGGGTTAGAAAAAAAACTTAGAAAAGATGATTTGAATAGCACTTGCTTGTCCTCCGAGATGGTTAACAGAAGTGGACTTTTTCCCTACACCTTGGTGAATTGTCCTACCCTTATCTAAACACTTTTTATCCTCTGTGTTCTCCATGTCATGAAATACCCTCAAGAGTTCCTTAATGTGAAGCTTTGGCTTGTGTCACCTCCTCAGGGACATGTTCATCCTTCATGTCACACCCCCTTTCCTCATTTCTGTGGATTGAATTTGGTTTGTCCTCCTAAGGTCCCTGGGCTGGAAGCTTGATCCTCAGAGCAGCTCTGTGCAGGTGGCGGGAGCTTTAAGTGACAGGGCCTGGGAGGGTGACCAGGTCACATGGCTCCACCCTCATGAATGGATTGATGCTCTCATGGAAGTGGGTCAGGTCTTCTGTGACTAGATTAGTTCTCATAAGGACACATTGTTGGGCTGAGGTTGTAGCTCAGCGGTAGAGCACTTGTCTAGCATGTGTGAGGCACTGGGTTCAATCCTCAGCACTACATAAAAATAAATAAAATAAA